GGAAATCACTGAAATCAGGTGTTTTCTGTAAAGTTGAGGAAATTTTCAATCAGAATTCTGCACATGTTGACAGGTGTGATGGTTTTCTGTTCATGAGCAAGGTACTTTATTTTGTCCGGTATTTCTTGTTTATTAGAGTAATATTTTTTAACCAAAAATTTTAAATCAATATTTTAATTTACTAAACTATAATTTACTAAATTTGTATTTATTATAACTTTTTCAGTTTTGTGTTATTTTAATTTTTTGTGTCAATTTATGGGAGGGGTGTAAACTTTTAAGCACAACTATATATATTTTCTATTTTGCAGAAAGAACTCTTTGAAAGAACGTCACAAATTCAGTTAAATCTCTGCATAACTTTTGCTGGTCTTGACACCATGATCATTTATTAACGACTGAAGGCTTTTATAAAAGCCGAATCTGAGACCTGCACATCACAGACAAAAAGTAATATTTCCTTGGGAAAACAATGCAGTAACCCTCCATAAACATCTCAAGCCTTCGATCTGCATGTGTTTTTGGTTTTTCTTTACTTCCCAACAAGTCAAAGGGGCGGCTCCCACAGCAGCCTATCAGCAGAGAGGAGATGCACCACCTCCATCGTAATGATGGCAGATATACATACCATCATTATCCACGCCATCTTCTGCCTTGACCCAAGAGGATCAAGCATACTGTAGGTCAAAAACTGTCCAGGTGAGATCATACTTAAAAACAAGAATCACCTTGCTCCACACATTTTTACCCATCAAGTTAAGTTTAAAGCTTCTAAACACACAACAACAACAACCATGACAGCAAAACTACATCCAGATGGAGCTGTGGAGGGGGCAGATCCCCGGCTCCAGCCACTCCAGCACGTTGTAGAGCATGGAGAAGTCCACCCCTGTGGACTCAGCAACCCCTGCCTGAGCTTTGTACAGGAGTTTACTCCTGTGATGGGACAGACGAAAACTGTTCTTCCACAAAGGAGAACGTTTTTATGTTTAAAAAACATGTAAAGATTTCTATGATAATAAAAATATATTATCTATGACTAAATCATTTATTAAAGATTAAAATCAGTCTGTCTCAGTCTTACCAAAATTATAACTTAGAAACTTATAAAGTTGGGTGCAGAACTTAAAATCAGATGTTTTTTCTTAAACTTCTCAGTTTAGTGGATTTAATCCAACTGAAAACTAATACAACATAAGAAAATAAGGCTGTATCTAATTAACAAGCAGGGGTAGATTTAGATTTAAAGTGCCTTTATTCTACTTAAGAGCTAAGACCTTTGTTCAAGATTAGCAAAATCGTATTATGCAAACATTGTAAAAGCATATAAGAATTGCAATATGCACATTTCTTAAGATTAGCAATTAACAGAGCTTGCATGCTTACAACTCAAGGCTTTACTGCCAACTTCTAGCACTTGTTACTTATTTGGCATTACTTCACCGAATAAGTATCCATTTCTTCTGAGCTGCTGTGGATACTTTTACAGATCAAATGAAACAATGCAAAGTATAGATCTATAATTGGAGATATTTGAATTAATAATGAACAAAAAAAAAAAAAACAGAGAAAAAGATTTTTTCAGAGCAACAGAAGCATAGCGGTTTGCAGTGTCACAGTTGGGAGGCTTTTCCCCTAAATCAAACAACGGCTGTATTGATTTGGGGGAAAGTCTCTCATATGTAAACTGAAGCATTTAAAAAAAAAAAAAAAAAAGTCAGTAAAATGTATTACATTGTTATAAACCAAATTAAACACATCACCCATTTATGCTAAAAAGTAATCTTAAAACTACCTACACTCTGCAAGTGATTTTAAAAAATGTCAATGGTCTTAACTTGAATCAGACAGAGAAAGATTAGGGTGATGGCATGGAGGCCTTGCAATAAATCTAGGGATCTGTCCCACAAAGGTTTTAAGTATATATTTTAGATTGTTTTGCAGCATTTATCTACTTATTTTATACATTTGATAAAGAGTGCTTCAAAGCGGAAAATTAAAATTTTTTTTCAGATATTGATTCAAACTGAGGTAATTGAAAGCTAAAATAATGCTAAATGTAAGTCATAGAAGTAGGGAAACCTTTTGTTTAAGCTCATCTAAGTAAAGTCAGTGCAGTTCGGAAGATGATTAGGGCCACTGAAAAAATAAAAAAGTCAACTGATTTAAAAATTTTATTTCAGTATAATATGAGAAAAAATATCAGAATTCTGACTTTAATCTCAAAGACTTTAATAGAATTGTGAGATTAATGTCAGAGATTAAAGTCAGAATTCTGAGGAAAAGAAAGTCAGAATTCTGACTTTCTCAGAATTCTTAGAAAAAAGTCAGAATTCTGAGATTAAAGTCTAAATTCTGAAATTAAAGTCTAAATTCTACGATTAAAGTCAGAATTCTGACTTTTTTCCTCATATTATACTGAAATAAAAATTTAATATCAGTTAACTTTTTTTTTTCTCAGTTGCCCTAATCCTCTTCCGTAGTGCAGAGTAGGGGTGTTGCTGGGGAATTAGAATGATGCTTCATCAAAGACCGTGATAATAGGAGGCAAGTACTTTTTTGTGTTGCACTTTTTAATATGTGCACATTTCCAACTTTCTATAGTCTGTTTTAGGGGTCATCTTCTATCATATAATAGCAACAGGTCAAATTAAATAAAGGGGGATTTTGTAGCCATCTTCAGGCACACCTCCAGAAGTTTGCAGGTATGAGGCTGAAAACAAAAACATCATTTGGGATGTTTTATTACACCCCAACATAGTTCCCCACTTTGAAAAGTGTAAATGGACTGAATATAATAATCAGTGTATTTGTTGTTCAACAATGTGATTTTTTTTCAAAGCATACAGTAGGTTATAATATAAATAAAGTTGTTTATTTTGTAGATGGGAAACTTAGTGGACCTTGTCTGCTGATCTCAGCGCTGAGGTCCTCTAACTGGGTCTCTGCCAGCAGAACTTCTCACCTGTTGCCTGCAGGATAAATCTCATTCTGCTTGCAGCAGCTTTCATCCAAACTCACCGATGATTTTCTCCTGGTAGCCCTTGGTGAAGAACTGCATGGCGGTGGCGGCCCTCCAGGGGGTCTTCAGGAGCCCCTGCCGCTCCGGGTCCTCCCCCAGCCCCCTTAGGATGGTGGTGTAGGCTGCAGCCAGAGAAGGCAGGCTCATTTCGTTGTCCTCCAGGCTCCTGGTCCGCTCCTCCTTCCAGCTCTCCATCACCGAGCTGCTCCCCCGATGGGAGCCCGCTGCTGCTGCCTGAGAGGCGGCCGCCGGCCGCTTCACTAACCCGTCAAAGTGTCCGTTGAGGACGGAGCCGCTCTCTGAGGAGTCCTTTCTGTCTCCTGGGCTGTACTTTGTCTTTTTAGAGTGCTCCATCGCCGCTTTTTATTTCCTGAAACCCGCCTGTTGAACCGGTTTTCAGTTGTTTATCAAGGATGAGTAAAGCACCTGGTGAAACGTCTCAGGACAGGTTCTGGATGACAGATGTGTTTCTGAAACTCTTCCTCAGCACCGCTCCTTTATAACAGCAGGATAATCCAGGGAGAACTCCTATTGGCTGAGAACACTGAGAGGGGGTGGAGCCAATTCCTTCTGACTCATTCAGAAATTATCATTTTATCACAACCTTATAGCATTTCATCTGAACATACATAGTGTTTCCATTTAAAGGGCTGGACGATCAATATATTTCATTTATTAATAAAGAAATATTTTATTAATAAATGAAATATATTATTAATAAGGGAAAATCTTTTATTTTTTAACTAATCACCTCTTTTTATTTCCCTTGCTTAGAGTGACATAAGTTATTAACTTTCTTGTTCTTGTGTCACACCACCAACTGCAAACATTTAGTGATTGTTATATTTTCAGTGTTTGTTGTGAAACATAATTTTGTTGCCCTTTAAAAGACAATAACCTCCCAGAGGGGATAATAAAAACCAGGCTAGTTATTGAAAAAAATAAATGTCATAATAAGAGGGAAAAAAGGAAAAAAAAATGTATCTGCTGCTTTGGTGAAGGAAAAATAGATTTGATTTATATATAGATATCTTTCTTTTACTATAAATATATATATATATATATATATATAAAAGCATGCATCCTAAAAATAATTTTTTTTCTACTGATTTACATGGATTTACATTACCTATGGATTACTGCTCTTCCTGCCACTGTTTAGTTTACAATTTATAAGAAGAAAAAGCGAAACTCTCAGAAGCATAAAAACAGTGTTTAATTGCATCTTTCGCTGCTGGAGATAGCTTGCCACAATGTAAACACTATAAGTGGTAATGGCAAAATGCAGTAACTTAAATTCTTCAAAGTCAGATTTGTACTTATAAGCATGTAGTACATGTGGAAAATTGGTTTAAAGAGTCATGGTTTTAAAGATACCTTTGTTTTAACAAACCTATGGAAATATACCATCAAATCTTAATAGGGAGGTTTGGACTTGACAAGTTTACCACCTTAAACATTTTCTGCCATTCTGGTTCAGTGGTCTGCAGCCGTCAGACAAATGGGCTTAGATTTGACTCCTGAATACTATGGCATACGGAAAGGAGTTCCCCAATACAATGAGCAGTAGATATTAGGAACAGATAAAGGTTTAAAGTATTTCTGCTAAAATCCAGTTTGGTTTATCCAACATCATGACTGTTGATTCAAAACTTTCTCCTAAAAGTCTTCTGATCAATTCACAGCAATCTTTGTCAAACGAAGCGATGCTGCTGTATTTTTTTAGTAAAAGGCTTTGTCAAACCTTCCCAATAACCCATATTAGTTTAGTTTTACTATTTGCATAGTATGATTATGTTAACAGAGGTATAAACAAGATACTAGATGTTTGTCTCTTTAGGACATTGGGACTTTATATGGTTAAGAAAAGACCTCAGTAAAACTCCCAATATTAGCAGTAGTATCCTAAATTGTACTCTCTGGTCTGTCAAAAATCAAATAAATTGTGTTTGAACCAGTGCATCTGTATTTTTTCTACTTTATAAATCCTATGGCAGCAACAGGGTGTACATAAAGTTAAAAGACTAAATATGTCCTATTCTTTAAGAGGAGGTCATGTAAACTTTCGTACTTTTAAAACATTGTATTGGGCATCAATAGGTCAACTCAATTCATGGAAAATAATGGCAGTAATGAATTTTAATATTTATTAAATTGATAAAATACAGTGAAGTTTTCACACAATAGGAATATAAAACAATGAAAGAGAATTTGTCTGTATTTGACAGAACATGACGATCCTCTGATCAGGCTAACTGAGAAAAAAATAATTAGTCTCAAAATATCACATATTTAAACAGACATTTTGTCCGTTTCAACAGTAAACATTCAGTTTTTGTTAAATGCAAATGCTGACAGCTTGGAAGAGGGATCCAGGGACTTTTTCTTCTTGCTGTTATTTTCATCAGTTTCCACCGTTTCGTTTTCAGCACCTCCATCTCCTTCTGCTCTTTTCCTTTTCCTTGCGTCCGCTGCGTCTCCTGCTTGTCCTTTTGCTCTTTCTGTCCACGACTGAAACGGAAGACACAAAGATGCCCACGTTAATTGCAGACAAAATAGAGATTGTTCCTCATCGTCAGGCCTAAAACACCTGCATGGCGATGACTAACGGCACACATGGACACTCAAGCGTGCAGCTGGAAATTGCATCCTGTCATGTATAATCACTATTGACAGGCTGCATCTCTTTGGTCCGCCGGCTCTTTTCCTCCCCTCGTGATTTTATTTTTTCCTCCCTCCTCCTCTCTTTAAAACAAAGGGAAAGCGTTTCCCTGGACGTAATAGATCAGGGATGAATCACCAGGCCCACTGAGTGGACCTGCCACACAGAGATATGCGTACATGCTTCACCTTCAGCAGCCGATCATTAAAGTGTTGAACATATTCATCTAGGCAAACGGAAACCTCAACAGTAGACAGGAGTTTGACATGAAAAGCAGCAAACTGTTGCTTTCCAGCTGATATTACATTGTAATAACAGCCTGCACACAACATCAACATATCAAATGTTGATTTCAAATCTAAATGTTATTTTACTTTAAAGATTTCTATTCTTTTAAAGCAGTTCAATCAACCCAGAACTTCTATGGGTCAAAGGAAAGGCAATTATATCTGCCCACACAACCTGGACAGAAACTTTATGATTTTACCTTTTCTTTGGAGAAAAAAAAACAAAAAAACAAAAACAAAACAGGATTAGGAAATAATGCTTAAAATTACAAAACATTTTCTGGGAAATGATGAATCTGATTTCATATTTTTAAAGAGGGAACAGGATCCGTAGTAAGCAAATCTAAGCTTTGGCAGAGAGACCTTTTTTAAATTCACTCAAAGACTTTCAGATGGTCTTTCAGATTTCCCTTCTTACTTCCCCCCTTCTTAATTTGTTGTGTATTTAAACCCTTCAGGAGGTTATAAACGCTTAAAGGTTTAAGAGGAGGATTTTCACAAAAAATGCACATGCACAATCCTGCACCCGCTCCTGAGAGGGAACGCCTATTAAACACGTGTGAGAGCATGCACAAACCCTTTTCTCATTGTGCACACACAAAAGTTGCTGTTTGCATTGCTCATACAAGCTTAGTTTCCAAAAGAAAGTTTTCCACTATGTCAGACTCACCACCGGTAAGTGAAAATGGGGACGAGCACGCAGAACGGCCTTACGTAAACATATCACCAGAATGATTGACAATTAGGAGGACCACTTGTTTTGATGATCCACTCGGAAAAAGAACATCCTCCACTATACCTTTAAGCATGCAACTGCTAAGTTACTTTTGGCACCCCCTCCTGGTGATGAGTATCCAATGCTAATGTTTCATTGATCAAAGTGTTAAGCTGCTCTGTGCTCCATCCAAAGGGTGAAATAACATATTATTGTTTTTATCAATAATTCTCAAAATGCCTGAAATAATAATAAAAAAAAATGATGGGATAAAAAGAAATATCAGCTCCTCTCCTACGCTGATTAGCTCACAGCATTATCATCAGCTCACATCAAAAAGCAGCTAAAATACTCTGCTTGGTTCCCAGGCAACTGCCATGAGACCCTCCCCCTTCATGCCCCCGCCTCCTGCTTCCTTTCTGCCTTGAATGATCTGGTTTTAAGCTGAGAGACATGATGTATGCAGGGTCAGGAGCAGGAAGATGAAAAGGTGAGGTGTCTCATTTCTGACACAGCTGCCCTCATTTTTCACCTAATCAACTGATGGACAACACTGAACAGAAAGAGCCAACATCTGAATTAAATTAAATACGTTTGAATGTATGTGCTGATCAATGACACATGATTCTAATTTGGTGCTGAATTTTTCTGTTCATGGGATCTTGGCAAAGTTTCACATTTTACATGCATTAAAAGCACATTATTATTATTATTATTATTATTAAAAAGTTCTTTCAGAGGGAGCAACCTTCATTTTTAGAAATAACTGAATGATTGAGAACTCCTATTGTGCTAATTTAAACATTTTGATAAGCTTGCAGCTTTAATATTACGAAATAGTTAAATTAATTTTGTCAGACAAATCTCTGAAACCGAAACAATGAAATGTACCCCCCCCCACCCCAAAGTAATTTACTTAAAAAAGAAAGTAATTTCCTTAGAAAATGTTAGATTTTTTTTTTTTACATATAGTGGATAAGTTTGTTATAGAAAGTCCAAACCTTTTGTTGAGAAAGTGATGGGAGGATTAGATTAAAAAATCTAATTTTAGTGATGTGTTTAGGGTCCTATCAAACCCCACAACAGGGGCACCAATCAGCAGCCAGTAATTACTAATGATTCTTGGTCTAGTTAACGGCTTCTGTTTTGGCCGGGTTGGGATAAACGAAAGCTGTGCTCCACTGTGACCTCTACGCATGTTTATATCAGGCTTATAAACCTCAACATTAACAGCAAGTTTAGTTTATAATTACAAAATCATTTATTTGCAATACAGAAGGCAAACCACCTCTGAATTGGAGGCCCTGAATTACAACATTTTTGAAAACGTGTCTTTATTAGGAAAAATATAGTTTCCTGCTACTCCGACGCCCCTAAATAAATCTCTTTGTTTTGTAATCTGAAGCACCCCTAACTACAAGTGCTTTAGATTACACCAGCTGAAACTGTGCACCAGGACTAATGTTCAAATGATTTGCTAATTTAAGAGTAAATTATTAAAAGCAAACAATTGTTTGCTTGCTCATCCCTTTTGGGCAAGGGTGTCAAAATTATTTATCTTTATTACACAAGTAGAAGTATAAATCCTTTTGTACAAGTTATCAACTTGAGCTTTTTACTCAAGTAAAAGTGTAGAACTACCAGTTTTAAGACTACTTAAAGTATAAAAAAAATTATGCAGGAAAAATATTGAGGACAGACGTTTTAAACTATATACTGCGCTACAATATTAAAGGAACATTTTTCTACAATTCTGGATGATTACTTACTTATACTTCATTTTTGGGAAAGTGGGAATCATTTGTCTGATTATGAATCTTTTAAAAAAATGTTCAGCACCTGTATCATGAACCTGCAGCTCTGATTAAAATGACCAATAAAACAGCTGGACTGTTTCAGTGGTGGTGAAAGCGGCAGTTTAGAGCCAATGTTAGCAGCATTTACTGGTTAACAGTTCGTGGAAAACAAGAGCAGGTCCGTGAAGTTATTCATAAACTAAAACTAGTGACGGTGTTAAGGCAGCCTTCGTCATCAGTGCAAATGAGTATCTAATGTGTCTGAATAAGATTGTGGTTAAGAACAGAATGAAGCGTTCAGAACGTACAAGTCTTTCGTCTGCTGATAGCGTCCTGAACCGTCCCATAGCCTCTTTAATGACATCCGTCTCATCCAGATCTGGATTATCAGCGATGATGACCTTCCTGTTCTCGTCCAGCCACAGCTGGAAGCCCGTCTTTGGCCTAAAGGGACAGAGATTTAGTTGCTTTCTGTTTATTATTTTTTAATGCGGAAGTTTCAGTAACGTGATCCTTCTGTTAAAATACTCCACCTCTTGTTTTCTGTGTTTTCTGTGGGTGTTGGCGGCGCTGTGGTATCAGGCTGTTTCTGCAGATCTGCAGCCTGCTCTGCCGTCTCTTGGTTTTTCTTGTTAGCCGTTTTGTTGCTGGAGATCTGGAGCAGAGTGGACTGAGCCTGACAGAAGAGCAGAATCGAGGGTTAAAGATTTTAAGTTTTGTTATGGATGCTTCCAGTGGAGCTGAGAAGGGTCAAAACTATGTTTCTAATACCTAAGATATGTTACGGTTTATTTTAAAAACCTGTAAGAAAATATGTTTAGGTAAACATAAAATACAAACAACATTATTTAAGTTTAGATGTTAGGAAAGTTCTCATTTTAAAAATAATTGTCAGGACGGAGTTACCTTAGATTTGGCTCTTGGTGCCAGTGGCTTGAGGACAGGGCCTTTGTTTGGTTTTCCAGCTGAGCCGCTGATTGGAGTTGACTTCCTGCTAGATGTCATGTTGTCCAGGATGTTTGTGACCCGAGTTTTTCCAGATGAGGACGTCGGCGTTCCAGAACCTGCAACCTAAACCCATCAAATACAATCAAAGATGAAATAGAAACACTAGAAAACATTACCTGGTGTTTATAACACATAACCTTTAGCTCTTACTTTGAAAGGGTTTGATCTTCCCACTTTACCAGCTGGAACAGACAAAAAGAAAGATTTAGGAACATTTCACAGAACTCCTACATATTTTTATTTCCTAATTTCACAGAGTATTAGAATACTTTTGATTAACGTTGGGATGAATGATGCAGCTGATTTATGTAGGAACAGAAGGTAAATAGATGGATGGATAATTTGATTTTTTTCAACTCTAAGATCTATGGAGAGCCTTGGATGTCAGACAGGAGTCTAAAAATAAACTGTACAACATTATTACTACACAGTGACAGATGATCACAAGGATCAATAAAGAAATAAATGGATGTTTAAATGATCAATGGGAGAATGGATGAACTGAAGATTGAATGATGGTGAGGATAGGTAGATAGAGTGGATGGATAAACATGGATTCTTTCCTAATTTTCCTGAACTGATACAGACAAAAAACCTTTCCAGACTACATGTTTTTATCTCCCAGGTCTGAAAAACTCATGAGTTCAGAAGCAGGCATTTGATCTCATCTATATTAGCAGATGCTGGTTATCCTCTGCATCGTGTCAAAAACATGGACTCACTTGGCATCAGTGACGGCTTCACAGGTGAACCTGCTTCTTTAGCGAAAGGATTTAAACCTAAACAAATAAAAGGAGAACAGTCAACTGGTGTCATCCGTGTTTGTCAAAAAAACATTAAGCAGGAACTAAAGGTGAGGCTGACGTTTCTTGGTTTCCGTTGTCTCCTCCATCTCCGTCTCCCCACCATCGTCTTCTTCTCCAAGCTCTTCCTCCTCCTCCTCTTGATTCTCTCTGGGGCTGTAAGGATCATCTGTGGGCTCAGTCTGCCTGTACCTGTCAAAATAAAAGCAGTAACCCTTCTTTGCTGACTGAATTTTTAATGTAAATTAAAGATGAATGCTGTTGTAACTTCCAGATATTACAACTTATTCCTTATGAGACGTAGTGTTTGTGATATCATAGAAGAGGTGATTGTGAAAGCTTCACAATCCTAAATCAGTGGCTCCCATCTACGGTAGAAAAACAATGAAATTGTTTTCTTATTTAAAAATGTAACTTGTCTTGTTCCATTGGCAACGTGTCTCACTTACCTCCTCAATTCAAGAACAAATGCACTTACTTTAAGAAAAAAATACTTATTTAGAAATCAATGTTTTCCAGTGAAACGTCGGCACCAATAATGTTTACGATGATGTTGGTTGATCCTAATATTTTTTAAATAGAAAGTGTTGACAAAGAAGATGTGTTTTGATTTACCCTGATGTCGATCTGACACCAGAGAACGCCGGCTGCTCCTCTGGGACCTCCAGCTCATCCTCCTGCAGCTGGTTGGACTTCTCCAGGGCGATCTCACTCAGCCTCTGCGCCAGGTTCATCCGTCTGGATCGGGACGCGTAGCGGATGGCCAAAGTCACCACGTTCTGAGTCATCAGCTCTGCCAGCTCCACACAGCGAAACTCCCGCTCCAGTTTACAGGACAACTAAAACCAAAAAAAAAAAAGCCTTTAGAGCTGTGCTCACTATCCCCCCTGCTGAGACAAGCTTGTTCATACTGACTGCAAACATCTTCATGAGAAGCTCCTGCTGCTCCTTCTCTGACTGCGTCTGAGCAGCCTCGTCGATCTCGTAGCCGCTGGAGGACAGGAAGCTGTGGTGATTGTGGAAGAGGACAGAACGCCAGTACTGTTCCTGGAAAACAAGACAATTTGATGCAAAGGGCATTTTTAATGAGGCAAAAAAACGTCAGGAAAGTTCTCACTCTGATATTTGTAATAAAAATATGTATACATCTTCAAAATAAAAATGTAATTTACTGTAAACCAAGTCTCCATGGCAATATTCTACAATAATATATCAGTAACTGGGGCTAAGCAATAAAAAATATTTATGTATTTATTCCTATATCTACATATTTATTATTTTTCTATAATTGCAATAAACAGTTTTCATGTTTAGGTGTGCTGCTAGGCATTGAAACAATTCAATGTTTCAGTTTCTTTTCAGAAATTATTGGGGATGAAAAACAATTGTTGAAAAATCAAATGTATGAAGGAAAAAAAAGTAGGTAGACAAAGCTTCTTCTGTGAGTGGTGCCTTCTGGGTTTGTATTTACCTCCATTTGTCCCTTTTCTGTGCTAGTCTGACACAGCGGCAGCTTAAAGGGAAGGATGGCGACAGCAGGCCGAGGCAGAGTGGGAGGATACCGGGAGCCTTTACATGGAATACACCTGATGGGAAGAAGAGAAGAGTGAGCATTTAAACATGAAAAACTGAGAGTGATTCTCTGCATTAAAAGAAAAAAAATTTGTATAGATAAATATAAAATATATAGATTAAAAAAATAATAAATCACTCTTTTATAACCCATAATATGGATTCATTGCATATTGTGTAAAATTGTTAAAGACTTTTTTTGTTAGAATTATAATGAAATATTACCAACAGATAAACCCCAAATTCATCCATTGTCTCAGAGTATTAATATACTGTAAAAACATTTTTTTAAAGCATATTCAAGGAAAGTTGAGTGGAAGAAAAATGTTTGGTAGGAAAATATGTTCCAGAAACAGGAATAACCTTGAAGACTTTCCAGCAAGTTCCAGTTAAGAATATGGTTCCGGTTTGTCCTCTGAAATCCTTTATTCTGCTGATGAGCTTCAATTAAAACCTGATGTCTTTTCCTAGCAGGTGAAAGAACCTTCCTACACCATCATGGGTTCAAAAAGATGGTTCAGTAACCATGGTGTCACTGTGCTCGATTGGCCCGACAACTGAAACGCTACAGAGTATTGTAAAGGTGAGACACACCAGGGGCCTTGAATATAGAGCCTGCTCCTTAAAACATGCAGTGCAATGTTTGTCAAGTCCTGAGTTCACTGCCTCTGATGATAGGCGAAGCAAATAAAAAGCTTCTGACACTTCAGATACTTAGGCCCCGTCCACACGAAGTCAAAACGAACACGAAACGCTAATGTTTTCCAGAACGTTTGTCGTAAAGACGGAGACG